TATCTAACAATCATCTATCTATCTATCTATCTATCTATCTATCTATCTATCTATCTATCTATCTATCTATCTATCTATCTATCTATATTCATTGCTGTTTCTTGTCCTCACTCATTCATTCTGCTGCTGCTGCTTTGTAGTAGTACTGCCATTACCTTCAATACTATTAACTTTACAGTATTCTGCTTTTTTCAGCAAGAAATTTTTCTGTTTTACATAAGATCATTTCTAACAATACTACATAGTTAAAATAGACTATTTACAGAATTTAACAATAAGATAGATTGTTAAATAGTAGTACAGCCATCACCTTCAATACTATTAACTTTACAGTATTCTGCTTTTTTCAGCAAGAAAGTTTTCTGTTTTACATAAGGTCATTTCTAACAATACTACATAGTTAAAATAAACTGTTTACAAAATTTAACAATCAGAGCAGATCTTCCCTTCTCTATTTTTTGCTTATAGATCAGTTGATTATACAGTAATGTCTTCTTGGTGAGAAGTGGGACATTTCTTGCTTGGCTAAAAAATTTTTTGCCTCCTGTGTTTATGACACTTTCTATAGTCCCTGTAAGGAGGGAAGAAAATCATTTTACTCATTGACTGATATTTTCTCACTAGTATAACTCAGTAATTCTGGAATAATTTTCTCCACTTTTCTGATTTGCTTTTTCTCTCCTGTGTTCCAAAAATAAAAGACTTTGAAACACATCCAAGAAGCCATCTTCATGCATTTCTGATATTTTAATATCTTTTTCCTATTTGAAATGTAACTCCCCATCTCAACTGCAAGGTGCACAATCTGGAACCCTCCATTATGAATCTGAATAATTTCTGGCTAGAATTCCATTAGATTTGTTTTCCAAAATTAAAAAAACCTGATTATAAAGAATTAAAATCTTTATTCAGAATGGCAGGTCCTACTGGAAAAGAAGATATGTTTCAGTAGTGCACTATATTTAACATTGAATTAATAAATGTATTTTAGCCCTTTTCCTTCACTTCAACTCTTTAAAAACTTCCTCCATATAAAGGAAAACTACTAAACTGAAAATAAATTCCATAAAGAAATCTTGTCCTTACATTGTCCTGGTGATTCATTTTAAAAGCATATTGTTCTGTGGAAGACTTAGTTTTGTCTACTTCTCATAAACCCTTTCTTTATTTTTCTGTTTTTAAAAGGTCAATTTTGTCCTGGTTTTCCAACAATTGGGATGTCTCCTTGTGGAAATATAAGGCTCATGTTACCATTAAGCAAGAATAGGCTATCAAAGCTTAGTCTTCAGTTAGAATAGCGAAGTGGCTTTGGTGTAGTAGGTTCATTTCAGCCTTGTAATCATGTCATAAAACAAAGGAATGGAAACCTGTTGAAATGTTGGTACATTGCCAAGTTCATAATGATTTTTTTCCATTTCTATTTTAATCCAATTTTTGTTGGAAACAATCACTAGTTTGATACAGTAAAGTCTACAATGCCTCAAAAGCCTTCCTCAGAAGATGATAAGAAGATGATAAGAAATTTAAATTTTAATGTGAGAAGAGGGGAAATGAATTAATGCATGGGGAGCATCTGATACACTTTATTTCTTTATTTTAGTTAATTTTAATTCAGTTTAAATGTATTCTTGGTTACATGTTTTTTAAAGCTTTATATGTCATAACAATTGAAATGGTGGGGTGTATGTTAAAGAGAGAAAAAATAAATAGAATTTTAAAAAATCTATATCTTTAACAGTGTAACTACTAATTGAGGGAGTTAAATAACAATGTCCTTGTTTTATTAGATAGAAGAGTTTCGCGGACTGAGGAATCATATTAAAGGAGCAGAGCTCCTAGAAGGTTGCGATGGAAATTTAGGAGATAATTTCAGACCAACACAGCCACTTAATGACAGAGTCATAAGGGCTGCTTTCCAGTAGCAGAGACAAATAATTAAAAAAAGAAAAAGAAATGAAGTCAAAATATAGGTAAGTGAAAAATGAAAATACTGACTTGTATAAAATATGACTTCTGTGCTAACTTCAGCATAATTTTCTCTAAAGACATACTCATTCCTTTTGGAGAAGTGGAAAAGTATAATATCTGTACATTGTGTTTTGACCATATTTTCAATATGATATGAACTCATTTTTAAAGTCAGAGAATCACAGAGCTGAAAGAGGACATTTATACCTTAAATCTAATCTTGCACTCTGCAAAAAGTCTTCATATAAGATTCCCTGGCAAATAACAATTCAGCCTTTTATTTTAGCATATCCAATGAAAAAGGAGCTCATCCCCTTTTTGACTATTTGTTTCCATTTTTGTCAATAAATTGTTCTTACTATTACAATTTTTTCCCTAATATTCCTATTTTCTAATATTTTTTCCAATATTAGGAAATATTTCTTAATATTTTCCTTTCATTTAAATCCATTATTCTGTGTTCTGTACTCTGGAATGGCAGAAAATAAGCCTTGACCTTTGTCAGATGCATTTGAGAATGATGTCATGTTTCTGCCAATAATCTTCTCTTCTCAAATTTGTAATTATTGTTGTTGATAAATTTTAGGACAGGTCCTTATAATGTAACTTATACAGATAGTTCTTGATTTAAAACCATCACTTAACAACTGCTGTGTTCCCTTAACAACCATGGATTCGCTTAACAGCTATGCTGATATATCCTAATTAAAAAAAAGTAAAATCAAATCTGGTCACATGCGTACCTTGACTTTTGATTGCAATGACTTAAAACAAGAAATCTACTCCCAATTGTGGTCATAAATTGAGAACTACTTGTAACTAAAAACCTAAAAGTAATGAATTTTATCATTTAACAGGATCACATAGCATTTTAACTATCTAAGGGTTTTAAGGTTTGGAGAAATAAAACAATCCTTATAGCATGTGTAGCTGAAAGTTAGGAGGCTAAGACAATTGTTTTATGATGGCAGGGCTATCAGCTAAATGAATTGCCCTGTGCCCAATTTTATGATGGGCCAAGCAGCAGAATCTCAAATTGCAATGATAATAATTAGTTTATAAAATGCTAGTCTTATAAATGTTATCGTAATTCATATAATTTTTACTCTCATAATGGACAGAATAAAGGGGATGGCTGAACTATTAAATTTTACAAGATCCCTTTCTTTAATCTTGTTTCTTCAGCAGTTCTGGGTGCAAGAAGATGAGATAGTAGATCTCCATTGTTGCACCATTTTTTAAATTCTGTGCAAAGCAGCTTCAGGATTGCTGGAAATGCATTGGGAGCACAATACTGAGAAAGATGAAAAGTAATGTTTTCCTCACTGCACCTTTAAAAAAATTAAATTCTCTCAGTTGTTGCTCTTTGTTTTATTAGGGAACAAATGTTTCTCAATGTTTCCCCTAATGAGGAAAATAGTGCTGGAAATCGTGGAAAACTGCCACTTAGAAAAATTTGAAGGAAAAGTTTTAAATCTTTTATTCTGGCAAAGTGTCCATTCAATATGAGATGTTCAATAGTTGATTTTGAAATAAATGATAACGCTGATTTTGGATCTCCAACATATCATTTAGCTTGTTTTTGTCTGAGAAGAAATGAAGGCTACATTTTAGCTACAATTTTTAAAATAACTTGCAATTTTAGAAGCTTATAATAGAACTGAATATGGAATATATTAATATTCATGGAAGGCGATATTCAGTTAGAATTGTAGAATATAAATGTCAAGTTTTTCATATTATTTTCTCCCACACTGGTTCAAACATTTAACCTTATATCAAGTTGTATTTAGTGATTTTGCATTATTTTGTGTTTTGGATGCACATCACAAACATGCTAGACAAAATTACAGAGTAATGGAGGTTTCTGCAGTATTTGACTGTATCCATGGTTGCAAATTAATCTAAGAATTCATTAGGATATCACACTAAGCCATAACAAAGCAGTAAAGCTGGTGCATGACATTCAGATCATGCTCTTTGCTTACTTTCATAGAGGTAGCTAACCACAAATGGATTTCCTTCTGTAGCTTGCTAACTCTATTGCACAGACTGTGAACTTTGGCTTGTTCAAATAGGAATTTTAATTACACAATGAACACAATGAAAAATATATTAACTATGATATACTATGTTCTTTTTCATCTCCCAGACCCTTGATTCTGATCTAAGCCAGTTGATCTTGTCTGAAGATTTTGTGGTCCTTGGACTTGCCTAAAAGCTATTAAAAAGAGTCACCCTAGAATTCTTTTTGAATAATGGATCACATTGCTGGATACTGAACTGAATTTTTCTAGCAAGGAATATGATTCCCCTTTGAACTGACATATTGACTTAATATGACTTGCTTCAGTAGAGATGGCTGAAGATGTAATGTGGAGCCATTCATCAATTACACAGCGCAAAGATATAATCTTGAAGACTGTTTCTTTTTATCTAAAGGCTAACAATAGTTTTGAGACTACATTGTCGTTTAAGAGCTTATATAATTTTAGGTTTATGTTAGAATAAAGATCTGTGATATTGCACAAGGTTTGGTGGAGCTTTTTTAAATAATCTTCATTCTCATTTTACTATTTGCTTGTTGGCATCTATAGTTTTCCAACTGCTTCAAGTCAATTCCAATACTCTCCATTAATTGAACGTATATTCACTTGGTGTAGGACTGCTTGTAACTGAGTGTAGTATATGTGCACATTAATGTTATTAACTGAATTTAATGGCTTCCTATAAAGGAGAAGTGATTGAATCTATTTCTGTTATGAGCCCTTTTATGTTCTGTCCTAGAAGCAAAGCACAAAGCAGTGAAATGCAAGATAATTTGATGTATCCAGTGACAAATAGCAGTGGAATGACTTCATCCTGGAAGCTTGTGTATGTCACGTTGTCACAAATTGTCACATAAAGACGTGATGTGAGGAAAATATTTTGTTAGTTTGTTAGTAATTGATGGTTGTAGAATCTGTTGTGTTAAGTCACTCGTTCTTAAAACACTTCAAAGTGTTTTAATACTTAATTCCTTTTCTACCCTCCACCCAAAATAAGATATGTAGGACACTCATATTTATGTTGTGATATGTGGTATGGATAAAAGATGAAAAGGGATACTTCAAAGGACTTAAATTTACAGAGTATCTTCTTTTAAATATGTATGTATTTTCATGCTTGTATCATTCTGACACCATATAAATTATTCACAGTAATAACTTATCACAATAAAACAGAGAGTATTTTGGAGATTGTAGTTACTGAACATGCACTTACACATGACTGTTTGATATATCTTATGAAAGAAAGCATACCCATGAAGAATTTATGAGAAAGAATGAAATATTCAATTATTTTGTTTTTGTTTTCTGGATGTAACATAGCTCCTCCTTCTTTAAATACTGCCCTGAAAAAAAAAAGACCACTAATTTAGCCAAGGGATTTATTCTTTAAGAAAACAATAAAAAGTTAAACTCAGAAACTTCTTGAATAAAGAAGAATTGAGATTAATCTAGGGATCCTGATTAATGTAAAGATTGTCAGAGGAACTGAAAATCTTGTCCAGTAAAGAAACAAACCTGGAAAATAGAACTAAAGATGCAAGAGAGCAGGATGGGGAGAAAATTTTCCAGAAATAAATTTGCAATTATTCCTGATTTAACAACAGCAATAGGAACTTCGATTTCCATTGCTAAGCAATGCGTTCATAATGTGTGACATCATAAGACTGCATTGCTTAGTGATGGCAATTCTGACAGTTCCTATTGCTATTGTTAAATGAGAATCATGGGTGGTGAAATGACAAGACTGAGTGGCTCACAATCTGTCTAGAAGGTGGCTAAGTGGTTGGTGTGGTGCATTGCGAGCATGGTCATATGAGGTGTGGCTGTTGCCAAGTTTGGAAAGGCACCCAGGTGATTGCCATGGCACAACAGAAGGGGAGAGGAACTGTTGCCTGAGACAGGATTGTGCACAGCTGGCTCACACCTTATAGCTGGGCTCCACAGAAGAAAAAACAATGAGTGGTACTGACTTACAGGAGTGAATTATGACCATTGACTTTGCTTGTAGGAAACTGGCAGGGAAGATTGCAAACAATGATCAGGTGACCACAGGACACTGCAACTGTTGTGTGAGCCAGTTGTCAGAAGCCCAAATTGTGATCACTTGACCAGAACTTTGAGCACCAGTCATAAGTACCATATGTTCTGCACCATCATAACTTTCATTGGTTGCTGAATGAGTGGTTATTAATTGAAGCATAATTGAAAAAAAGTCACTGTGTAGAATTGCAATGTGTTGAGACATTAAATGGAAAGAAATGGAAACTTCTGCAGTGAAGTGTGTTGGTATAACTGAATAAACATTCCCTCTATTGTATTTTATTTGCTATTTGTTTGGGGAAGAATTTTGAAGCAACTTCTGAAAAACTTCTAGTCTTCTCTTACAAGTGACATTTTTTATATACTGATTCTATGGAGCAGAATAATGAGACAAATTAGTATCAATATCAGTATATGTACAAAAGTGGGGAACTTAATTATGCTGCCAGGATTTTCATCATGGATAGTTGTGGACTTCAACTCCCAGAATTCCCCAGCCAGCATGGAGTTCAGAATCAGAATAGAGCTGCAAGGGACCTTGGAAGTCTTCTAATCCAGCCTCCTGCTAAAGCAGGAGATCCTATACCATTTCAGACCAGTGACTGTCCAGTCTCTTCTTAAAAACCTACAGTGATGATGTATCCACAACACGGGTGTCCAACATGCAATGACATATTATCACATGACGTATCACAACTTTTTTCCCCTTCACTAAACTGGGAGTGGTCTGGTCTGTGAGATTGACACCCCTGAACCACATCTGAAGGCAAGCAGTTAACCAGGCACTGGTTAAATGTCCTTACTGTTAGGAAGTGTCTCCTCAATTCCAGATTGCTTCTCTTTTATTAGTTTCCATCCGTCGTTTCTTGTCCTGCCCTCTGGTATTTTGGAAAATAAATTAATCCCCTCCTCTTTGTGGCAGCCTCTGAAATACTGGAATACTGCTATCATGTCCTCCCAGTCCTTCATTTCTCTAGACTAGCCAAGCCCAAATCCTGCAATGGTTCTTCATATATTTTTGTCTCCAGGCCTTTAATGACCTTAGTTGCTCTTCCTTGCACTTTTTCCATGTCTCAATATCTTTTTTATAATGTGGTGACCAAAACTGGATGCAATATTCCAGGTGTAGTCTTACTAAGGCTTTACAAAGCAGTACTAATACTGCTTTAAAAGTTGAAATTCAGTTATGACTTGAAGTCCAGATCTTTTAAAGTTGTGACGTTTGAAAAAACAGTGCCTTAGACTGTAAGGTAAAGTTAATGAATATTTGAATGCTGTTTTACATTTTTACATACAGCCTAGTAGAACTGCATGGGGCTATCTTAAAGTTGATTTAATTTGAAAGAGTTTCAATTGGATTACCTCTATAAAACCAACCTTCATATTATTTCAAGGATTTAAATAAATTCTGAAGAATTGAAGAAGCTTTTTAGATGAGAAGCGAAAACGTTTCAAAGAAAACAACAAGAAAGTCCAGTTGCCTTTTGGAAAAAGCTCCTTTGGGTGAACTTATATACTAGTTTGCTCTCTGTCAAATATCCTTTATTTTGTACTGATATATTGATTATTTTTTTCCAACTATCTCATAATTATGTTATTCCTCAGATTTGATGATAGATTTTAGTTAGAGCCTTCACATGTTATTCTTCTGTTGCTTGCCATGTATCTGCAGAATCTATCTATTACTGTAGCTTTTTGACTTGGCACTAACTGGAATGCTGATCTAACTTTATATTTTAGTATCAGAAATTCTTGAAAAAAGGGAATGTCTTTTAAGGTAGCTTAGATATTAATACTTCTACCATACAGAATGTCAGCATACGCCTTCCCTCTTTCTTAGATACTCTTTTGATCAATTACTATCTGTCTATTGCTGTTCTTTTACATACCAATTCAAGATTGGAGGCTCTTTCTGAGTTCAGAGATCTTTGGAAGGCTTTCCTTGTTTTTTCCTGTCTCTTAATTTTTGATGCCTTTACACATGCCATTGTAATTTACAACAGCTCTCTGAAATTCTTTGTTAAGTTCCTTCACTAGATCTTTGTCTTTCTTGGCCTTGGGTTTCTCTTCTAGGCAATTTCCATCATTTATTCTTGGTCTTTGGCATTCTCTTTTCAAATTCTTCATTAACAACTTCTTTGATTTCTTTCTGATTTTCTTCTAGTTCTCAATTGATAAGGTTCAGGAATTCCAAGTGTTCTTGGTATTTTTCTTGAAAGTGGTGGGTATAAGATGAAGACTATATCATATCCAATTCTAATGTAGCTAACCATGTAATTATTCTAAGCCTCATCAAATGAAACAGTGTATAATTTAAAAATTGTCAGATATGAACTAAAGAAGCAAGTTTACTGGAATAAGAATACAAAAAAGCCAATATGATTTCAAGTATAAAAGCAATATATTGTTAACCTGATGCAATCATATAACTAAAAAAGAAAATGTAACTACTCCCTAAAGTGTTATTTTTATATGTTAATACAATCAGATATTAATTTTTAACAAATGATTAAAGGAACATACATTGATGTAATAATTTCTAAATCAGCCCAAAAAATTTGTATTACTTCATTTTCTATATATCTACACTACTTTTAATAAAATTCATTTTTGTTCGATACTTTACAGACAAGTTTCATTTCTTTAATACTGGGAATATATTTCTTACATCACTCCAGCTCAGTTTCATTTAGTTTTATTTAGGAAGGAGTACTCAGCTTGAACAAGTATATAATGTTTAAATACAATTATGGACTAATTAGCTACTCAATCACTCTTACATCACACCAGGGACTGGCAAGAAATAATGGAGCTATTGTACACAAGTATATAAGAGAGCTGTGTTAATTAGTTTAGTGCTAATTGAGGCCGAGAAAGTATATGCTTGTCCTAAGAGATTTTAGCAAAAGCCATTATAATTGTAATGGTGCAGCTTAACTTTTTATATCTTGACATGGAACTTGCACAATAGGCCATGTTCTAAATTAAGTGATATATTTCTGTTTTCTTGTAAGTACTTTGTTAATATTTTCTCAGAACTTTGTTCAGTGATCTCTGGCATTAAAGTTCTTCTACAATCAATAGTAAAATAATGTGCCGTTTACTCACATTAAAAAGTGATGATTTAAAAAGCACAATAATATAAGTGAGCAGAAATGTGCAGAATAGGAATTATTACAGAAACTCAGTCCTGTCTAGAAGATACAAAAGACAAATATCATCCTATCCAACTACAGGCGTGGCCAAACCAACAATGAAAACATGTGTTTTGTCTAATGACAATGAAGTCTTTATAAAGCCTTAATAAAATGTGTGCAGTGTTTTGCTTCACTGGACTATATTCATTTCACCAAATTGAAATCTGGTGAGACTGAAAAATTAGTAATTTGATCTAGAAACCAAATCTTTCATGATAGAGAGAAATGCACCTGTGAGTTTTTTGGTCTTTTGCAGGAATTGTTTACCCCACTTCCTAATAGTCCAAGCTTTAATTTAAAAACTGTTTTGAAAATGGCTGTCCTGAAGAGTTACTGCCAAAGGGTGTATTTCCATTTTAGAAAATGTTCTTTAGCCTAATGGTAACCTCACTTCATGTGGGTATGTGTCAGAGAGGAAAATAAGTTGGTGCTCTTTGCAGATTTCCTTACCACACTCATCCTATTTGCCCTCTTGCTATCATCTCTGTCAATCTTCTCATTCAGTTCATATGAATCACCTTTATCTGAGTAAATCTTCTTAGATATGTACACAATTTCTCTGCTGCATGCCACCACTCTATTGCAAATGTTTTTATTCATTCAATTTCACTGTGTTATTGTTCTCCATCCTAACCTTTTGTCCATACTCTACTTCTTTCTGTATGTGTTGTTTCATCCTTCTTCATCCTCATCCCACCTCCTCTGCACTTACTTTCCTCTCTGTATCAGCCATAGAAATTAGTGGTTGTTCAGAGCCGGTCATAGAATTGGAAGAGGGGGACAACCATTCTTTGAACCACATTGTGCTCCTGGGCATTGATTTCATGGGACTGCCATTGATGGCAACTGGAAATTTAGAATTAAGCCCAACTGATTGTTTCCAGTAACAATAGACTATGGAATATTTTTAGGGCTGAAATAAAACTGATCAATAGTTTGTTACGATAAAAATTTGGTATTCAAAGAGAAAAATTAAATACAAGAAAAAAATACTAGGATCACATTCAATTTTCAGTTACAGAAGTGACTTAATGATATTAAAATTAAGACAGCCATTCTACAGACCAACTGCATTCCTATGAATATTTGTTTGCATATCAATAAAAACATAAAGTATTTTGTATGTTTTATTGGTGTGTGTATACAGAATTTCTTATTCCACATATAGTCCCCTTAAGCAAAAACAGTACAAGGAAAAATAATTATTGTTAAAACAGATTGATGTAATCTATAAAGTATTAAGTTGACCTAGGAAGTTGCTGAGGAAATCTGGGTGACAATATATTAAAGTTTGAGGAATGTGGAGACCTGATGACTCAGTATTATTACACAAACTAAACTAATAATCCCAAATGGAAATCTTGCACAATATTTCACAGGCACAGAACTCACTTTTCTAATTTTTTATAAAAGATTTCAGTGATATGTACATTTCTATAACATTTCTATATCCCATTCAAAATGTAGTCTTTTTACTTTTCTGTCCTTCAAAATGGAGACTTGAGATTGCACTTGAAAGATGGTCTAGAATAAAAATCACTAGCTGAAGAAGAAATTTTGTAAATTCCCAAATGAAAAGGTTTTGCTACAAAAGTCAGGAATACATGATCATACGAATTCTACCTTATTTCCATCTGTAGATTTTCTTCTGACTTACACTGTTGTGAGAAAGGACCATCAGATCTGCCCTGCCACAGAAGAATCTGTGTCAAACCTTCTATCCTGCTGTCACGAAACTCTTTTCAGTCTTCACTGTCTCCCTGGCTGGACATAAACAGTCTTTCAAGCTCACTATGGAATTTCACTAACATAATTGTTCCATTCTCTTCTCAGACAGGGGGAAGACAATGCTGCCACAGTGCCCTTGAATGAGAAATGGAACCGCTGGAGGCTCCTGCTTTCCTTTCGTTACAGAGCCTCCTTTGTCTGCCTTCAGCTAATTCAGGAATGATAGACAGCTGTGACAGTTGGCCTATCCACATGGTCCAGTGAAATTCTGGGAATGAGCTTTATGTTACAAGATGAAAACACATTAAATCGTCCAACATGCTTTCTTAACTTTTTATTGCTCACGAGGCTCTGGTTTTGTCCAGCACTCCTCTGTTATGGCCTATACTTTTCAGCATGTTTGATGGAAAAATAATGAACAGCAGCAGGTATATCAGATGTATCAGTTACTTTTTTAAATAGCAGTTTTGAATGTTCAAATCACTTTTATTTCTCCAGAACATGTAAATAAAAATATGGATTAATAGCTTATGAGGAAAATAAGTTATCATTTTTACAAATAAAAAGAGGCTACTTTACCAAAAAGTAGACATCTTCTGATAAAATATCTAGAAA